TGTGGTGGAATTCTGATTCTCCGAATTTCTGAATTTCTGAATTTCTGAGTTTCTGAATTTCTGAATTTCTGAATTTCTGAATTTCTGAATTTCTGAATTTCTGAATTTCTGAATTTCTGAATTACTGAATTTCTGAATTTCTGAATTTCTGAATTTCTGATTTCCTGAATTTCTGAATTTCTGATTTTCTGATTTTCTGAATTTCTGAATTTCTGAATTTCGGAATTTCTGAATTTCTGATTTTCTGAATTACTGAATTTCTGAAGTTCTGATTTTCTCATTTTCTGAATTTCTGAATTTCTGAATTTCTGAATTTCTGAATTTCTGAATTTCTGAATTTCTGAATTTCTGAATTTCTGAATTTCTGATTCTCCGAATTTCTGAATTTCTGAATTTCTGAGTTTCTGAATTTCTGAATTTCTGAATTTCTGAATTTCTGAATTTCTGAGTTTCTGAATTTCTGATTCTCTGAATTTCTGAATTTCTGAATTTCTGAGTTTCTGAATTTCTGAATTTCTGAATTTCTGAATTTCTGAATTCTTGAATTTCTGAATTTCCTGAATTTCTGAATTTCTGAATTTCTGATTTTCTGATTTTCTGAATTTCTGAATTTCTGAATTTCGGAATTTCTGAATTTCTGATTTTCTGAATTACTGAATTTCTGAATTTCTGAATTTCGGAATTTCTGAATTTCTGAATTTCTGATTCTCTGAATTTCTGAATTTCTGATTCTCCGAATTTCTGAATTTCTGAATTTCTGAGTTTCTGAATTTCTGAATTTCTGAATTTCTGAATTTCTGAATTTCTGAATTTCTGAATTTCTGAATTTCTGAATTACTGAATTTCTGAATTTCTGAATTTCTGAATTTCTGATTTCCTGAATTTCTGAATTTCTGAATTTCTGATTTTCTGAATTTCTGAATTTCTGAATTTCTGAATTTCTGATTTTCTGATTTTCTGAATTTCTGAATTTCTGAATTTCGGAATTTCTGAATTTCTGATTTTCTGAATTACTGAATTTCTGAATTTCTGAATTTCGGAATTTCTGAATTTCTGAATTTCTGATTCTCTGAATTTCTGAATTTCTGAATTTCTGATTCTCTGAATTTCTGAATTTCTGATTCTCCGAATTTCTGAATTTCTGAATTTCTGAGTTTCTGAATTTCTGAATTTCTGAATTTCTGAATTTCTGAATTTCTGAATTTCTGAATTTCTGAATTTCTGAATTTCTGAATTTCTGAATTTCTGATTCTCTGAATTTCTGAATTTCTGAATTTCTGAGTTTCTGAATTTCTGAATTTCTGAATTTCTGAATTTCTGAATTCTTGAATTTCTGAATTTCCTGAATTTCTGAATTTCTGAATTTCTGATTTTCTGATTTTCTGAATTTCTGAATTTCTGAATTTCGGAATTTCTGAATTTCTGATTTTCTGAATTACTGAATTTCTGAATTTCTGAATTTCGGAATTTCTGAATTTCTGAATTTCTGATTCTCTGAATTTCTGAATTTCTGAATTTCTGATTCTCTGAATTTCTGAATTTCTGATTCTCCGAATTTCTGAATTTCTGAATTTCTGAGTTTCTGAATTTCTGAATTTCTGAATTTCTGAATTTCTGAATTTCTGAATTTCTGATTTTCTCATTTTCTGAATTTCTGAATTTCTGAATTTCTGATTTTCTGAATTTCTGAATTTCTGAATTTCTGAATTTCGGAATTTCTGAATTTCGGAATTTCTGAATTTCTGAATTTCTGAATTTCTGAACTTTTGAATTCAGATTTTTTTGAAAATTATTGTGATTTACAGAGTAGTTCACTTCCCGTCTGAGAATGCCACTACTACCATACGCCCATCCACTATTTGGCTTCCAATAGTATTCCCGCAAACGCAAACTGCAAATGCCGCTTCTTCTGCATTATTGTTCAACTGTTAATTTATTTTTCAACTATTAATTTGATTTTAATTTCAAAATAAAAATGTATACTAAATTGTTGTTCAGCTCATAACTTTTTGCGCGAAGTATGAAAACAAAGCAAAAAAGATTTTCTATTTAATAAAAATTTGAAACAGTACTTTTTTCCAAAATTGTTCTCAAAAAAATTATGTTATATAGTTCATGTTTATACTCATTCGAACCTGCATGCTCAGCTGAATCTGAAAATCATTTTTTTTTATATAACCTAAAATTGACTAAGCTATGAACCTTTAAAAGTAGCCCTCTGCGTCTCTCAATCACTCATACTTGGTGACACATCATCAAAAACTGTGAGAAAAGGAATCTAAATCAAGGACAAGGACCGGAATTCAAAGGTTTTTGTTTGACTAAGGTTTTTATAACGCTAGAATACAAGACGAAGACTCACTAATCTTTGAGATATAATTGTTTTACAAGTCATGTAAGTTAACCAATAGTTACCTGAGAAGTGCCTCCTAATCGTCAACCTTGACCTCCAATATCTCACAGGGACCGAGACAAATAGGCTCAAAGTTGGCGACATGGGATACAGGGGCATTCTATTAGAGGGCTTACCATATTTAAAATTTGGAATGGTGTTCAAAATAATCAAAAAATATTTTCACTGTTCCTGGAAAATTTGAAAAGTGAAAGTTTAAAATATCTGGGATCAATCGACTCCAAATGATACAATTTAGAAAACCGAAAATTTCTAATTTTTTTTCTGTTTGGAGCAGTGAAAATAATGGAACCATTCTCTGTTTCTGACAATTTTGAAACAGTGAAAATTGGGATTTCTTTGATGACAAGACTTTTAGGTTATAACCTTGAGATTTAAAGGAATTCCAAAAAAACGAAAAAAATCCTCTAAAATGGCCCAAAAACAAGCGTTTTACGACAATTGTGAGCCGAATTACAGTCTTTTGCAATTTCAGGTGAAAGACGCAGACAACGAGAGCGGTCTCGTTTGTCAGCGTCTCTGGAAACTTCAAGTGGCCATAACTTGGCTCAAAAATGTCGTAGAAGCTTGATATTTAGTGGGATTTGTTTGTAATTTTATATTGAATCTGGAAAACATAAACTTGAAAATTTTGGGAGAAATTATTCATGTTTTTTTTTCGGCAGTGGTAATTTTATATGTCTTTTTCAGATTAAAAAACCCCACGTATTCTGCATATTTCACAATTTTCAGCTAATTTCCCAGGAACCGCTGTAGAAACCTGCAAATGGACAAATGGACCACCTGCCTCCTCACACCTTAAGTGGGATCACGGTGGCCGATCGTAAAAAAGAAAGGTGAGACACACAATGGGCGGAGCTAATTACCCTCCCAGATTTGGTTGGTCCTTTCAGCTATTCTTATTATCTTAGTTTCTTTATTCTGAGCAGTCTTCTATAATTTTTCCCCTTGTTTAGCATTCCAATAACCGTAAACACTTTAGTATAAGACCTTGCACTCCAAACCCAATATCTCAGTTCCTGTAAGAGATATCAAAAAGTGGCCAACTAATAAAATGTTATTAATATTATGATAAACATTTTATCAGTTGACCATTTTGTAGTATCTGTTAAGTAACCGAGATATATGGGCTCAAAGCACAAATGATATGTGGCCTTCCATTTGTGTTTACCTCATTCTTCTCTATTTTGTTTCAGGCCTATATGACTGACCAAAATCCTATGGACCCGATGAATAAGGACCAAGTACAGTATCCAGGTAAATTTTTTAAGAATCTGATTTTCAAAAAAAAAACGTTTTACAGTTCAAAATCTGCCAATTCCAGTGGATTTGTTTCGAGGCGGCGAACTCGGGCCCAATCTTTATCACACATTGTTTTTGATGAATTTTCAGAGGAATATGGTGAGAACTAAAAAAAATGAGTGCTCAGCAATTGCGCTCCAGGGCACACTTTTTGAGTGTTTGAAATTTGTTTTTAAATCCAGAAAAATGCCTATAACTTGGCTGAAAATGGTTCAATTTGAAAAAAACCTAGTTTTTACAGCTTTTCCTGTCAAGAGCTTCAAAATGAATATAAACATGACCAAGTTTGAAAATTTTCAAAATTTTCGCAATTTCAGAAAAATTACCATAACTTGGCTGAAAATTGAGCAATCTGAAAACTTTTTCAATTTTTGTGTTCAGTTCGTTTTGAGCTTCAAAATAAGTATGAACATGTCTATGTTCCTTGACATTAAAATTTTTGAGTCAGAGACGCAGTTTGTCTGGTTTCTCTGCGTCTCTAGCCGAAACAGAAAACTGATCATAACTTTGTTGATATCTGTTAGTTTCTGAAAATTCAAAATTATTTGACATTGGCAAGTCAAGAGCTTCAAAATGAGTATAAACATGACTAGCGGGGACGTGGCCTAACTTTTCAAATGGTGGCCTAGCAATTTCAAAAACTCGGCCACCATGAAATTTTTTGTTTCTTCATGGATTTTAGGGTAGTTTTTGATGAAGAACTCGATTTTGATAGTTAAAAAAAGGCAAATATCAAAGAAAGTCAGGGATTTTTGTGATTCAAACATTTTTTTCAGCTCCTCGCAAATCTGACGCCAAATTTATTGGGTTTTCCACCACTGATCCCTGGTTTCCTACCTCTTCCAATTCTGGCTACACCGCTGCTCATTCAGAATCCATCAGTTGAAGACATGGTGGCTCCAGATGACCTCGCCAACGTCGTCCATCAGAATCCATCTGTTGAAGACGTTCCAAATGTCAAGCAAGCTTCTAGATCTCCAGAAGATGAAGAACACCAGAGAATCAAGAAGCCATTGAACGCTTTTATGTGTTTTGCCAAGGAGCATCGGCCAAAATTGTGGGCGGAGCTTGGAACATCGTCTGCGGAAATCATCAAAATTCTGGGTCAAAAATGGCAAGAATTGTCCGTAGAAGAGCGAGAAAAATATGTGGATATTGCTCAAAAAGAGAGAGAAGAGCATAAAGTAAAGTATTCAGGATGGAAGGCTACTCGAAATTATCGATCGAAACCAAGGAAAAGAATGATTGGTGAAATTTTAGAATTATCGATTTCGAAATATTGATTTTTTGATTTTTTAAAGTTTTTCAGAGAAACGAAAGCCAGTAAAAAAGTGTCGTGCTCGCTTTGGAATGGAAAATGAACATCTTTGGTGTATCAAATGTTTGCAGAAGAAGAGATGTAGCTATCAGGAGTCGATTGATAACAATGCAGATGACAAAATGGGAATTCAGAATCAAAAACCAAAGATTTTGAATATATTGATCCAAAAATCAGTAAACTGACCATCAAGCAAGTATTGGCTTCGACCCCAATTTATCTCATCTTTTGTAAGAGATATGAAAAATTGGTCCATTGATAAAATGTTTATCATATTATTATTGATATTTTATCAGTTGACCACTTTTTGATACCTTTTACAGTAACCGAGATAAATGGAGTCAAAGTTAAGGGGTCCCTTTTTTTTGGTTTTTTTTTCATCTGACAAATCATTCTTTTTTTTTTGTTATAGTTTTTTAATGATTGGGAATTTTTGAAACAGTTTTTTTGATTTTGAACAAATTCTTACTTGTTTGAGTAATTGCTTAAAAAAACATTATCAGTGGTTAAAGTGATTTTTTCTCTGTTTCGAAAATTTTTGAAAAAGTGATTTTTTCAAAATTTTTTTGCTTTGAGCGACTTATCCATTTTTAAATTGTTTCTTAAATAATGTTTCACAAATTTAGGACAGTAATTTTAGAAGTATCCATTGTTTTCAGAACAATTGCGTTTGAAAAATTACATTTTTAAAGGTGGGGGGACAGGAGATTTTTCGTAGTTTTTTTGTAGTTTTCTGCGTGTATACACCCAATGCGCGCTACTTGACGACAGTTTTTTTGAAAAATTTTTCACTAGATTTCTTCAATGTTTGGTAACTTTTTCCCGATTTTTTCTTATTATTCGGCCATTCCATGATGTCGCCACATGAAAACAGAAAAAAAAACGAAAAATCACAGATGAGAATCGAATCCGCGATGCGCGATATGCAGTCTACCGTAACGGTGTACAACGCTTAATTTCACTCTGCGTACAGCGGTCCTCCTCGCCTTTATGTATGCAATCGGGCGATGGCTTCCTCTTTGCCCGCGTGGCTCAGTCGGTAGCGGCGCCGCACCCTCAATCCTCGCCCCTACAAGTTCAACTCCTCGAGGGGCATCTTTGAACGGAATTTCGAGCAATTCATTTTTTTTCATGTCCTCCCACCTTTAAGGTAAAGATATCTTTTTCATCCGAGAATATTAGAAATTGTTAATCATCATTATCAACTATCAATTTTAGCCTTTTCACAATGATAAAAGTAAAAAGGCAATTGAAAAAAAAACTATTTTTGAAACAGCAATTTTTTCCAGATTCTCAGTAACTTTCACTGTTTCAAAATTTTGCTGGAAAAAATTGAAATTTCTATTCCAATTTATTTGTGCATTCAACATTGGAAACTTCAAAATTATAAATATACATTTAGCTAGAAATTGAATCATCAAATCCAAATGAAACAATTTTGGAACTTTTTTAACAGTCAGGGGATCAAACACTAATCTAACCTATGACGTGAGGATTACTGTAGCCAAAGTGAACGGTGTAAACACCATCACGCGAAAATACACTCTCTCATCACAAAAAAAAACATTCCAGTTTCTACACATTTTTCTCTGTTTCACTAGTTATTCAGGTTCATGTTCAAAACTGATACTCCAGTACTGTCTGTTCAATAAAACGTGGGCGCGCCGCATCCGAAAAAGGGGGCGTTCCTGATACGCCCCTTTTTGCAACAGTGGCGCACACTTTTTCGGGGATATTTTTTTCGGAATTTTCAAATGTCATTTTTCACACTTTTTCTCATTGAAATTGAATAAAATTGAGATTTTAAAGTAAAATCATCCAGAAAACATGAGCAGCACACCACAACGAACTTTTCCCCAACCCCAAAAAGCCATCGCCGTCTAGGTATGAAGACACTGAAGCAATTCTGGATAAAATTGGTGTTTTCTGGATGGTTTTACATTAAAATCTCAATTTTATTCAATTTCAATGAGAAAAAGTGTGAAAAATGACATTTGAA